CACTATCATTACCCCAGTTCTATCCTACAAATCCTAGACCAGAGCATGTACACTGCTACAGATAAGAGCTCGCATCACAGGGAATCCAGGACAGATAAACCCCTCAGGACTAATAATGAGAGTAGTGATACCAGGAGGGTTAGGTGGGGGGAGGAAGGGGGAACAAATCACAATGATTGACATATAACCACCTTCCAAGGGAATGAACAACAGAAAAGTGGGTAAATGGAGGAAGTGGTTGGTGTAAGACACTAAAAATTCAATAATTTATAAATTATCAAAGGTTCATGAGTGAGGGAGGGTGGGGTGGGGGAATAAGCTGATACCAAAGGCTCAAGTAGAAATAAAAGGTTTTGAATACAATAATGGCCACGTATGTACAAATGTGTTTGACATTTGGATGTATATATAGATTGTGACAAGAGCTGTAAGAGTTCCCAATAAAATGATTAAAAAAACACCTTCATATATGTGGTTCTCTTTCTCCATCCAACCCTACTTTGCCTTCCATTCTTCTTTCTTCCTTCTCAGTAGTCTATCCCTCTCCTCTGCCTGTCTCCCATTCCCACCCTCATCCCTGGGAATTATTAGTTTTTATTTCTTATAGATTTACATGCTATTTGTGTTAATCTGGCTAGACTAGAGAAACAAAGCCACAGAAACTCACATATATATATGTATATACATATATACATGTATATATGTATATACATATATATATGAGAGAGATTTTATATAAAGGGTAAGTATACATTATAAAAGCATCCCAACCCAGTGCTGTCCAAGCATTAGTCCATATGTCTGACACCGATCTACAAAGCCCTCTTCAATCTCACAAAACACATGCAATAATGCCGACTGCAGGAGGAAAGCTGAATCAGTGAGCGTGTAAGTATCTCAGCACTGGCAGGGGTCTCCACGTGGCTGCTCCAGGGCTGCATCAGGGGTGTCCATGTGGCTTCTCCTCAGGGATGTCTCACAGGACGTGAGCCCTGTCAGCTGAAGCAAGGAACTGGCTAAGGCAGCTGCACCCCAGTATGACCATCAGAAAGCAAGAGACCTGAGAACCAGAAAGGCAAGGCTCACTGAGCCATTTATCTCTCCGCCCTTCAATTAATCCCACATGTGTTTATCGGCCAGCTTGGAACAATAAACCTTAACTATCTCACTATTCTTCATGCAATAGATTCAACTGCTAACAAGTTATTTTCTTATGGAAAAAGCTAAAATATACTTAAAACTGTCATATTTATGTTGACATCGCTGTGGTAGTAAATTTGTAATTGCTATTTGAAAGAAATGGGTATGAATATGTACATATGAAACCATACCGTAGAAACAGGCGTACTAAACCCACAGCCAAACTCCCTGTTTTTCAGTCAATTCCAACCAACAAAGACCTTACAAGACAGTAAAAGTGCCTGACAGGGTTTCCAAGGTCTGTATTTTATTATTGTTGTTGGATTTGTGCATGTGTGTGTCCATGGATATGTGTCTGTGTGTGTGTGGTTTTCTTTATATGAAATCCAAGCTAGGTAAAGCTATCGGTACAGTAATTTGATTATGGCTGAGGAGTTTGGGGGGAATGGTAAGCTAATAATTATGAGCACAAAAAAGAATAAAATCTTATAAAATTTTAGAGATGATTGTTAAAACTCATTTTTATTTTTCCTGTTTGAAACTATCCCGATCTTCCCATAGCACTGAGGGGCAGCTTCAGTCTTTCTTTTCCTCCTTTTACAACCACCCAGAATAGTGCTTGGATCCGACGGGAAAGGGAACTGGAGGGTGTAAAACTCTTTTTAACGTATTTAAACCCTTGAATTGTATGTCACTTAATTTTCATGTCAATAAAATTATTAAAATAAAAAATATAATCTCTGTATAATATCTCTAGGAGTCACAATAGGCTCAATATCAATGGCTTTGGTTTGTATTTCTTGCCTAAGGCACCAGTTCTCAACCTGTGGGTCACGACCCCTTTGGGACCCTTTCATAGGGTTTCCTGATTGATAACAGTAGCAAAATTAGAGTTGTGAAGTAGAAACAAAAATAATTTTATGGTTGGGGGGTCACCACAACATGAGGAACTATATTAAAGGCTCACAACATTAGGAAAGTTGAGAACCACTGGCCTAAGGGAATGTGTCCACAAAGGGACATAGCAGTAATTCTATTGAAATAAAAAGGTGGAAATTTTTACCTTTACATCAGATTCCTTGACCCTATTGTGTAAGTCAGCAATTACGGTGTCCCATATTATAATTGCCAACATTATTAAAAGAAAACAACAGCCTGCTAATCATTGCGGCTGGAAAGGCTTGGTGTGAATAATCGGGTTAGTGAATTATAGTTTCAGATTTGCGCTCAGTTTGGAATCAGTGAAACCAGTGAAAGCCAAAGGTTATGTAAAGAAGAAGCCTGTCAGAATAAAAAACCTCAAATATTTTCTCCTAAACATAGTAATAGAAAAGTAGTGAAATTACATCCTGTTACAGGCAGAAAATCTGTGAGATCCAGAACAACAGGGCAGGCCTGTTGTTCAGGTTCTCACAGCTTTCACTGTAATAAAAGCATCAAGTTCCCATAGGGTTGGGGTGTGGGGTAGGAGGGAATGATGGTTGACCAAAAACAAAACAAATCCATGCCTTCCAGTTTTCTGATTCATAGGACGCCTGTAGGAAATAGTCGATGTTCCCCCACAGGGTTTTTAAGGCTGTAATCTTTACAAAAACAGACTGCCATGTGTTTTTCATCTTTATAAAAGCAAACTATTGGTTGTTTCAATCTACCAAACATTGTGTGAACAGCAATTACTGCTAACAGAACTCCTTAGAGGTTAGTTGGAATTAATTTAGCAATAGTCAGGCATTGATGAAATAAATGCATAAAATGTAAGAATATCAAGATTTTCTTTTCTGAAGGTCCATATTGCCATTCACTACTTGTTGGAAAAGATTAAAATGGGTAGCTTTATACTTTGGGGTTATGCCAAGTAAGTGTTGTTCAAACTTCATTATTTATGTGACGCTATACAAAGAGGGCTTTCTTGGTTGTGATTGTAATGAAAGCCAGAGGTTTCTTTTAGGGTGCCACTGGATGGATTCCATTGAGCGTAGCAGTCCAAGTGTAAATCAATTGAGAGAAAGAGAAAATGAGAGAGTGAGAGTAGAGAGAAAAGAAAAATTAGAAGTGTTGGATAAAGGGTCAAAAATGAAAAAGTTCTACATTAAGTTCTACAATTACATCCTCATATATATCAACGGTGTTATGTCAAGTCATTCCCAATTAATTACCTGATATTCTTAATCTAGAGAATAGCATAGTTACATTTCCTTTTTTTAAATCATTTTATTGGGGGCTTCTACAACTCTTATCACAATCCATCCATACGTCCATGTGTCAAGCACTTTTGTACATTTGTTTCCCTCATCATTCTCAAAACATTTGCTTTCTACTTGAGTCCTTGGTATCAGCTCCTCATTTTTCTCCTCCCTCCCCCCTCCCCCATGAATTCTTGATAGTCTATGAATTATTATTATTTTGTCATATCTTACACCGCCCGATGTCTCCCTTCACCCACTTCTCCACTGTCCGTCCCTGAGGGAGGAGGATATATGTAGATCCTTGTGGTCTAGTTACACTTCTTACAGATACAAGAGAAACAAATATCCTTTACTTATTGTAAAATAACGCAATCCCTTTAACTCGTTTTCATTAGAGACTGTCAATTCTCAGTATCATATTTTTAACATCAAGCACAAATAAAGAAAGCATTAAGAGAAAAAGATAATTCTCTGCTCTTCCCCTTTCTGTATCTTTGGTGTTTTTGTGTGCTAAGCCATCCCTTTTCAGACTTGCAGCTAATGTTCATATGGTGGTTTTCGGTGTACATTGTTTTGAAATATCTCCTAAGATAATTTCCCCAGTGTTGTAGAGTAAGAGTTTTATTCATGCAAATTTTTGTAAAGGTTATAGAACGAATTGATATTTAGTCTAATAAGTAAAAATCAAATCAAGACTTTTAGTTCAACTAATGCTTAAGGCTTTTATGTTCAAACTTAAATTAATTGCTTAAATTATATTATCTTTTTAATGTGAATAAAAGTCACTTTATTCAGAGACGTTATATAGTTTAGATGCTTTTTTCCAACCAGAATCACCATTCTAGTTTAAATAAAATCTTCCCTATTCTTAATGAAACTTTCCCAACTTCTACATATTTTAGAGGCCTCACAGGTGATATTAGCACTGGTTGAACTAAGAGTGGATTTTAAATTTTAATTAGTTGAAATCAGGTAAAGAAGAAGGTAGTGAAACCTAATTTATCTCAGAAAAATGAATCAGCTCCCTGATTGAGCTGCCCTGAAATCAACATATGAAGAGCAGACAGTAAAGAGATAGGTTTCAATTGTCCATATTATTTGTATACTAAATTTTGACCTCATAAAAAAATCCTACTTGAATAAAATATTATATGGAACAGTACTTCAATCTTATCCTATTGCAACTGTCTGATGTGTCCAGAGAGCAGAGTTTAATTTGGAAATGGAGAAAAACCACCTGGCAAAGCAGGTGGGACTCAAATGAGTTGCTGCTGAATGAACTATGTCTGTGGGCTTTGATCGGATGTGTGATGCTTGGACTGTAAGTGTCTCAAAGTTATGACTGGACCAATCCCAAGATTGGCCCTGTTTCTCATAATCATGGTATGCTCTCTCCATGGGGCATGGACAGAGAGGTAAGCATGCCATTTGGGTCAGCAAAAGGAGTCTTGGGTTTGCACACTTTGGAGTTTAAAGTCAGCCAGAGGGTCTGATACCTGCAAGTTTAAGATTTAAATTGTCCTAGGGTGTTAAAATCATCCCTTCAGATATTGTGCCTGCCTACTAGCCTCTTTCCCCTCACTCTGCCTGAGGGCTCTCTATCGTCTATCTCTCAATCTCATATTCCAATCTATCCTCTATGAAAATTATTTTCACCTTTATTTATGTCAATTTACTAACTGTGCTGTTCTTACTAAATTCATCACTGTTCAACTTATTTTACTCTAAGATAAAAGAATGCTTACAGACAGAATACAGTAATATAAAGAGATTGCAATTTCCCCACTTATTCCTTTCAGGAAACACCGTTCATCTAATGTACAAAGCTCTGAATTACACTATCAACCAGGCTTTCACAA